TAACTAGTATTCAATTTTAAAATATGTTAAAATATCTTCTAAATAACCAAAAATATCCTAGATATTATATTGAAAGCACTTAGTATTAACTAAAACTCATTCCCTCTAAAAAACCAATCAGAATGTTAAAGGCTATTTACATATATGTATACTAACTACTGCAATTTGCCCCTTATGTACATGAAAATGCGTAAATAAACATAATATGTACATATGTACATACATACATCTATGCATTACAAATTTTTTCCTGACAGCATACATATGTATGTAATTGCAGTTGCAGCAGATATTTCTGGAAATTTCGCGTTGCTGCCCGAAAAACAACTCCAACCGAGTGGCAGCTTCTTTCGGTGCTGCCGCCAACTTTGCTATACTCAAGTTGCTCTCGCTTGCAAGTCTCACTTGAATTACAATTACTAAGCTCCACTAAGCTAATATTATCCCTTAAAATCCTTTCTCCATGCCCACTTCGGTTGTCCCTCCCTCCCCCCCCTCCGTCCGTCCCATGTAGCCAACGCGCCATCAGTCCGTCAAATTTCAACTCGCTATCGTTCAGTTGCGTCGATCACTGGCGCGCGTAATCGCATGTCGTGACTTCTCCTTCTCGCGCAGATCCTTGATCGCTCCCACCGTGCCGAACATCACTTTCGCCGTCAGCTGTGTGGTTTTGCCAGACATGGCCGATTTGCTGCCGCCACCAACACCGCCCCCTGAAAGGCTGCTATTCGTGTCGCGATCCAGGCTCGAGCTGCCATTGGCATAGGCGCTTGTGTACGAGACGTAATTGTTGTTGAGATCGCGACCACAACTGCATTGATGTGACATGGTGTTTTTTTTGCTGTTGTTGTTGTATCTGTTTTGTGTGTATATAGCTTTGTTGTTGTAGTGACGTGTGCACTCCTAGACGTATACGCAACGGAATATTCGTGCACGAGATAGCAAGTGGCAGAGTTTTCGACGTTTGNGTGACGTGTGCACTCCTAGACGTATACGCAACGGAATATTCGTGCACGAGTTAGCAAGTGGCAGAGTTTTCGACGTTCGACTTTATGGATTTTTTCGTAGACACTATTTTGCTAATACCAGTCTACTTATTTTCTTCTTCTTGATTGCAACTACCAGTCTTTATGTCTTCTAGTCGCTTCACACCCAGTGCAGTCACTGCTATTTAGTTTTTACACTTTTCACAAAGTTTCGCTAAAAAAATTCCAAAGTCAAAATTTACGAATTCTGAGCGCTGATTATAATTCACAGCAAACGCAGATGTTTCAAAAGCTATTTTTATGCTCATAAATATAGTACGCGTACTTAAGATTTTATTGTAGTTTCAACAAGTTGTTTTCGTTTGATTATTCGTCATCCGTTGCCGTTGGCGGAGCAAACCGTTGCAGTGAAATTTTTACGCGTTACTGAACTGCACCAGCGTTTTGCGTTTATTTAGAGAAATTCTCCGATCGTTCGCAGTTACCGCGCTGTAAACGTCGACATCGACATCGACAACGGCGTCGGCGTCGGCGTCGTCTTCACTGCTGTACAATCCGTTGCGCTACGCCTGAAATCGCGATGCGCATAAGCGGGCGAAACACCAAAAAAAGCACAAAAATTGAGGGAAAAAGACAAAAGTGGGTGTCCGTGGCTGTGCG